ATCTGTGGACATTCTGTGAATAACTTGAACGTAATTTTCTCCCGGCTGACTCATCACAGAAGCTAGGAGGACATTTTGATGAAACCGCTCTTCTGCTTGAAACTTTCTGTTGACACCCTGCCACTCACAGAAAACTGTAATTTTCTCGACACAATGCACAAGTCCTTCGTAATCAACCTGCTCCTCCTATCACACTTCTTACCAGCTTCTCCCCTCCTTTCCCCGCTGCCTATGCTACAGCAGCACCATGTTCTTCCTAATTTATAGGTATTGGACCTTATTTTCTCCTCCTGTCTCAGGGTTACTCTATCTTCAGTTTCTAGCTTGGCTGTCACTTTCTTCTGAAATAGTCCCAGAACACCCAGGATTGGGTCTTATGGCTGACTCTGCGATCCTCAAGTAGCCTGTATTTCTTCTTTTATAGTGTAAAGTTTTCCAGGAGAAACTTCTTTATTAGGAAAGCCACACTTTCAAGGGCACCAGGCATTTCTCCCCACGGAGAGCTGAGGACAGAGAGAATTGGGACCCGGAGACGAGGTCTCTGTGGCCTCTCGCTGCAAATATGCTGTAGAGATCGTGAATGCTATTTTAGTCTTCCTAAGAGTATTGAATTGTGTTGTATTAGGCAGTTAAATTGCTGGCAGATCAATATGAGTTACTGGAAAGTTAGTTTTGACTTTTTTTAGGGAAGGTCTGTTGTCTTACCCTCAGACCTAGAGAGAATCCTTTGTTCAGAAGCTTAACTCATAGTCCTTTCAGGGTTTCAAAAGAAAGCCTCAGATATTTACCAAGTCCTCTAATTTGCTTGGGCACAAACTCTAAGCTCCACCTCTGTGTTAGTCAGCTTTTTGTCACTGTCACAAAAATTTAAGACAGCTTAAAGGAGGAAAGATTTATTTTGGTTCACAGTTTCAGTCCATGGATGCTTGGTTCCGTTGTTTCCCAGGTCTGTGGTGAGGCAGAAATCAAGGGAAGGAGGGCAAAGAGCTGCTTACCTTATGACAGCCAGGAAGAAGAGAGAAGGAGAAGGAGGAGAGAGGGAGAAACAAGGAGGAAGAGGAAGAGGAGAAAAGAGAGAGAGAGGAGAGGAGAGGAGAGAAGAGGAGAGGAGAACCACGTTGCCATGATCCGCTTCCTTCAACCAGGCCCTACCTGCTACTAGTCCATTCAACCATTAATGGAATTAATCCATTGATGAGGCTGGCACCTTTATGATCCAATCACTTCTCTAGGCCCACCTTTGATTATTGCTGCACTGAGGTTAGGCCCTCCATATATTTGCCTTTGGGGATGCTTCACTTATAAACCATAATAGTCTGCCATGCAGTAGACAGGGGCCGGCAGACCTGGTCAATCTTGTTGTCTTCTGGCTGTTTTCTTCCTGTGACTCTTGGAGTCTCCATCACTGGTATATTGTTTAAGGATGAACCAGGAGTTGAGGGGCAGTTTATAGACAGATCCAGGACCCTCCCTCCTCCTCTGTTGTTGCTCCCATTAAAGGATTTTTGTCTTTATTTTCCAGGTACTCTAACAGTTTCTGACTCTTTTCTTAACATCTGAAGATAATATGACTATTGTTTTCAGCCTATATGTTAGTGGCAAAGTTGTATAAATATGAATCTCATTCTCACTGGAAAAGTTCTTTTAGATTCTCCCCTCTTTTGGATGCTTCCTAGTTCCCTCAAGGGGCTTCATTTCATGTTTTTTGCTGCTGCAGACTGTATAATTACTATCCATGAGGATGTTCCAGTTCTTGGACTTGTAACTCTTAAAATATTATGGAAACAAAAATAAAGCGTAAATAAGTGAGTGTTTAATTTTAATGTTATCAAAAGTGTCATAGGGAATTTATGATTTATTGACTATAGACCCTTACTTGAGATTGGTTGGAACAATGTTGGTCTTAAATTATTTTAATTGCCATTCTGTGATTTTTATCCTTTCTGAAAAATATTATGGAAAGGATGACTGAAACACCAGTCTGGCTACCATTATAAATTAATATTAGATAATAAGTTACAGAGTTTGGGGGGGTTGCCAGTAGGTCACTTCTCTAAGTACTTGACACAACAGCAAAATAGTATAAAATAATTGTTGATACTTTCTGTCTGTAGGTCTTCTTTGGTTCTCATAGCTACACTGAAACTTCTAATGAACTATACATTGACAACAAAATGATTATCAGTTTTTGTGTCACTTGGCTTGTTTGCAGTACTAAATTATTTTTCAAATATTTGCAATATTTGATGGCCTTTTACTTCATAAATACTTTTTTTTTTTTAACTTGGCTTCCAAGAAGCTAGACTCTTCTAATTTTCTTCTACATTCCTGGTGTTTGCTTTTCAGATCTCTTTGCTGTTTTCTTCTGTTTCATTGATCACTATAATTCAAGCATTCTCAGGCTGAAACTTTGTACATATTCTCTCATGTACTGACATTGTCTCTCCTGGTGATTAAACCTAGTTTCATGGCTTTAAATATCATCTATATAATGATATTTTCAAATTGTCAACTCCATTTCAGACCTCTCCCCTAGAATTGTATAATAGATACCTTATCTTTCTGATCACTTAAATGTCTAATAGACATTTCAAACTTAATACATCTGCCTTAGCTACTATTCTCATTGCTGAGACAAAATACCAGACACCCAAAGTTAAAGGAGGAAAGGTTTATTTCAGCTCACAGTTTGTAAAGGTTTCAGTCCATAGTTGGCTGGCTCCAAGGCAGGGTGGCATATCAGGGTGGAATCACAGAGGAGAAACAGTCCATGACAGGCAAAAGGCAGCAAAGTAGCAAGCATCAGCAGCAGCAAGCCTGTCTTCCTCGTACTCCACTCAGGCTAGAACCCTACTGATTGGTGGCACCCACTCCCAGGATGGGGCATTCGTTATTCACACACAGAATTATGCTAATTCCAATCAGTGGACTAACTTAGTATCACACACCCTTAATCCTGACATCACACACCCTAGATCTAGCCAGCTCCAAAAAGCCCTACCTATAAGCACATGAGGCTTTGGGGTGACATCTAGATACAAGGCAAAACAGCATCTAAAACAGAACCTTCCTCACAATTTCCTTCTATAATCTTCCAAAGCAGCCGACAGTAGCTCCATCCTTTCATTTTCCTATGGCAAACCCAAATCCAAACCATCAACAAATCTTGTCAGCTTTACAGTTAAAATATAACCCAAACTTCCTAGCAACCATATTATCTCTCATTTAGGTTATGACAGACATCTCTGACCTCCTTTTTTCTCCTCTTTCCTTCTGTAGTCTATGTCAGAGTGATTATTTTAAAATAGAAGTAATATTTTGACCTTTTATATAAAAAATAGCTACTTCTCATTCATTCAGTGTCAAATCAAGGTTTTTACAATATTTAAGATCCTACACATTCTGCCTCTTTGTTACCATTCTTAGGTCATCTGCTATCCATTCATCTCAAGCTATACTGGTCTTCCTGAGTCTGTGCATACTCTTACTGCAATGCTTTTGCAAAGCCTGTTCACCATGCCTAAAAGCTCTTCTTTTTCTTATTTACATGGTTTACTCCCCCACTTTCTTTAATCCTTTATTCAAATCTCTACTTTAAGATTGCTGCTTTATCTTAGTCATGTCTTTTCCCCTCCCCTGCCTTGTCTATCCCCAAGCACTTACCATCTGACATCCTCTATGTTTATTTTACTTTTCTATTTATTGTCTGTATCCACTGAGTAGACTATATTCCCCACAAGAGCAAGGATTATTTTGTGTGTGGCTGTTTTTATTACTCTAACTCTAGAATATAGGTAAAGGCTCAGCACAGAATAATTACTCAATAAATATTCATTGAATTAGTTAATAGTGTGCATTTAGACAGATGTAAAGAAGCATTATGCTCTTAGGTGCATAGTGTCTGGATACTGAAAGAGGTGATTCTGGTTGGCAAGCCTGCTTTGAATTTTAGAAAACAGAGGAGCCAAGGAAGCTGAACCTAAGCCAAGTGAGCTGTCTGCTTCCTCTTCAGGTTCTCATTCTCTTTATACTTCTTACAGCATGCACAAGGCAACGTGCATTATATCACTTTAATTTCTTCCCTCTCTGGATGCCTACTGCACATTAATTGGCTCTCTTTTAGGATATTTGTAGGAAGCAGCTAATGGGTTTTTTTTTTTTTACCGATTACCACACATCTTTATTGTGATAACAGTACCTTGATTTTCCCTTGGGGAATTGTCTTCTTCCAAGTACAAGTCACAACATTTGGCTAGAACTCAGAACTCCTTCTTCTGGGTCCCTAGAAGGAGTCCATGGACCAGTCCTAGCCAATGAGAATATTTCATTCCCCTGAATGGCAATTTGGTTTAGGGATGGCTCCATCATTCAAGATGACCCAGTTGAAGCAATCAAATTCTGGCATATTTGCTAACAGATTAAGAGAAATTATTTTTCTAAAATTGTAGTGAGGCCAATATAAAGCTGAGATATCAGAAGTTATCATGTAGAGACAAGCTGAGAATGAAGCCAGAGCTGATTGATGCAGATTGGTCGGTGATGACAATATTGTCTTCTGAGTCCAGCTCTACCTGAAACCACCCCAGATATTCAGTTGCAAGAGCCAATAAATTACTTTTTATTTCTGAAGCTGAGTTGAGTGGAGTTATATAACTTATAACTAAAAGAGTTCCAAACCAGTATTGAGTAATTTTGCCATATTAAAAACCAGTTTCCCATGCTCATGTCAACCCCCAACTCCCAAGGAAGCCTTCTAGGATTCATATTCATATCTGTATTACCACTTAGTATTCCAGACAGTAGGTCTTTAATTGTGGGGGGCCTTGCCCCCCCCCCGCTAGAACTCTTGAGTGCCTTTTACGGGCATGTCTGGGCCTGCAGCAAGTCCACCCGGCAACTAGGAAGTAGCCCCAGTACCCTCCCCTTGCTCCTCCCCTCTAGCCTTACGGTATATATGCTGTAGCAGCTTCTGCAATAAACGAGACTTGATCAGAAACCTGTCTTGTCTCCATCTCTTGTGTCTCTTGTCCCTTGTCATTCTCACTCCCCCTCTAGGGTCTCCGTTGACTTACCCGTGGGCCGGGACAAGTGGCGCCCAACGTGGGGCCCAAGAACGGGGGATCCAGTGAAGAACGCTGCTTGGGGCCCCAATAAAATAGAAGAGGCAAATAAAATAGAAAAAAGAGGATTGCGTTTGACGTGAACCTGCCGTCTTTCCTGCACCTCGGTGAGTTGAGCAGCGATTATGGGACAGGAGATTAGCCAACATGAGTTGTTTGTAGAAGGTCTTAAA